TTTCCAAAACTAATAACAAAAAGGTTACTATATATAAAACGTTTATACATCCCACACTGCCTCAAGTTGTTTAAATTTCGGTTTTATGCACATAAATATAGCAGCCATGCGGTTCCCCATTAGCCAGTTCCCGCTTTTTTAAATCAATTCATTTCAATTTGAAAGGATGGCCCCGGACGCAAGACACAGTCAACAGTCATTTGGCTTTCTACACTCAACGTGGACCTCAGGAAGAAATAGCGTCTGTCTCTGTCATTTCACCACATATCTTGGTGCCTTGATGTTGTCTTTAAGACCAGGCCTACTACCAATAGGGTTCACAAGCCACAGAGCTGTTTCCCCCTTTCTAATGCATTTTTACCCTTCCCACCCTAGGTTCCCTTTGAGGAAGAAATAATGCTGCTGGTGCACTGTATCTGGACTTTGGAGAGCATGGCACAACCATCTGACCTGAAACCACCTTTCCTGTAGGTAGAAATCCTCCTCTTACAAGAGGATGTGCCTTACAAGAAAGGCAGCATGGGGAATATTGGAGTGACCAGACATCTGGTATCAAGGAGCGGAAATCCACTTCATACTACTATGAATGAAAGTTTGTTCCTAAACCAAATACTTCATGGCGTTCAGTACTGGTGTCAAATGGTTTGATCTATCCCAAGTCTAAAATAAAGATCTCTGCTCTGATATGCCCATCTTGTCAGTGAGATTGTCTTGCTAAACCTTCTCTGTTTGTGTTGAAGGTATCAAGCTGATGCAACGCTGTCTTTTCGCCGAACCGAGATGCGCAATAGGAACAATTCAGAAAAGTTATGTTTAGCGTTTTTCCCTTGTAGTTAAAGAAATGCAAGCTATCAAAAACAAGCCTATGTTTGAAGGTACAGTTTTCAACATGTGAGTAGGAAACATATGTACTGGCACAGCTCTACTGCTCTGTAAGGGCTGTGTTCAGATTCTGGCTTTTAATCTCAGCTCTGCTAGAGAGAGAGAGAGAGATGCAAAATGGAAGGGAATGTGATTATTTATGCTGTAGCCTTGTGATACTCATCCTGTAACCGTTGGGAAGAGAAGCAAAACACTCTGCTAAAGCTTTGGGTGAGTTTCAGGGGGACTGTAGTCTTCACAGGTTCTCACGTCAGTGCCTTTCTTCCCTAGGTATTTGTTGCATGGGATTTTTTTGTCTGCTGCGCTACATTTTAAAGAGAGTAGAGAGTAAATCCTGGTGAGAGAGAGAGAGAGAGAGCTCCCTCCATCACAAACCCACGTTTTGAGAATGTCTATCCCCCCATGACCACCCCTTCTTCAAGCCATCTTCCCTCTTTCAAGGAAAAAAGAAAACCTTAAAAGAGAAAGGGAGAAGGAGGGGGCAGAGGGAGGGGGACAACCCTCTGATTCCTCAATGACCTGCGCAACTCGGACACAACTCCAAGTTCCCCTGCCCTTACCCCATTGGAAAATCACATTCCCGAACCCAATCAACTTATTCAACTTAACGTGGCTTGGGTTTTTAAACTTCATGTTTAATTTTGGTTCTTTCAGGGTGGGGGGGGGGATAAAAAAAGCAAAAAAGGGGGGGAAGAAGAAAGTTTGGATTTAACTGTTTGCTGCTTAAAAAGCACCACAACAAAACCCCTAGCCAACAATAAAAACAAACAACGGCCCCTGTAGCCAGTGCCCCCGTCCCAAAGCCAGCCTTTCCCGCGAGGGAGCTGAAGGCACACAATAGCACACAGAAAAAGACAGCTCCAACTATTAATAATAGCAACCTATGCTGACTACCGTGCCTAACCGCTCCAGCCTGCGCCATCCTGCCCTTCAGAGAGAGGCCACCCTTCCTCCAAAACGCTGCAGTGTAAGTCATCCCTGCCTGGAGACTTGAGGATTGGCAGGAGAGTTTTTGATACTGCTGAAGGCACATATACATACACACACACACACGCATGTGCGCACATACACACACACACACACACATATATATGTATATATATATAAAAACTGCACACACACACACATACACACACACATCTTTATATATAGATATATATGTAGGTGTATTGCCTATGTATAAATAAGCCTATCCACATACACAATCCTCCTACAATGAGGTCATTCTCTCATATATACAAGACAGGGTATATGATGCCAGAATCTAATGCCAAGATCTTATCTCCACAGTTTTAACAGCGACATAAAGTAAATGTTAGCAGGAGTGGAAATAAATTTTCGAGACAAACATTCAACAAGGTGTCCCTAAAGGCGTCTCTCCTGCCCTTCCCAGCCGAAGGACCCACTCCCTTTGCGCCGAGCGTTTCAGCGCAAGAGGCTCCTACTTTAGACCAAGCTGCACAGGGGATCATGAGTTTAAGCCTGGCTGGGGCTGCACCTTGGAGTTTCTAATTTGTTCCCGTCTCTTTCTGCAGTGAGGTCCGCCTTTCTTTCGTGCTGGTCGGCTGCAGATTAATTTTTTTCCTATGGCTCCGAATGTCTTAATGTTTTTTTGATTTCCGCCAGCTGAAAATGGAGGGGGGGAACGATACTTGAACGTGTCTCAAAAAGGTTTCGCTTTACAGCTATCAGTAGCACCAGGAGACAGCTCCATTAAAAAAGTAGTTTTCCACTGCTCTTGAAAAGCCGTTATTTTTTACATCGCTTTTAGGAAGATAGATTAAGAAAACATCACATTTCAAGCCACTCTGATCTGTAATTAAATGGAGGAGCCGGTTTGTATTCTCCTATGGCTTTTACAGAAGTTGCAGTGATCCAAAGTCAGGTTGCTGTGTCAGAGTGGCATTTTTATTAATGAGAATACAAAAAGCTTGCATATTCTTAGCCCGGCTTGAATTTAGTTGCTAAGCAACCGCTGTATGGTAATTCATCCGCGAAATTTAAATCTTTGAGAAAGGATCGTGCGTTTTGCTGAATGGTCGCCACGAGGAAAACAACTTGTGGGACCCGCAGCAGCTG